AATGAAAAAAACAGCGAAGAAGATGATGTACGTGATTCATGACGACCAAAGCGGGTTGTGTGGTTTGTTTGACCATTGGGGGTCTTCATTCTGGCATGCACCAATGAAGCAACACTCATTATGTTGCTGAACAGGGAAAGGGTGAGCGCAGTGAGGCCCAGACATGAGAAAATCAAAGCCAGGTAAGTGTCAGCTGCAAAACATGGAGAAGTAACTCTCAAAAAACACCAGGTGCATGGATATTGGATAGTATAAGTCCCTACTTTGAGTAAAGGCAGAATTGCCAGAACAAGTGCAAGAGCGGAAAGGAATAACACCACCCGTACCACATGAGCCACAGTAATCATATTAAAACGACAAAATGGCTTAGTGATGGCCACACAGCGCTCCACTGCCATAACACAACCGAACAGCAAAGGGCACAGGCCAAAAAACACCATATTTGTTCCAAAGACATCACATAGTTTCATAGTATACTGATGATTCATGTGGAGATACAGTGCAAAGGAACCTAGGATCACATGACCTCCAAGGTCAGCCAAAAGCAAAGCCACTGTTAGAAGTAGGAATGGTGCTTTGGACTGGCGGCAGAATCTACCACGAGACTTAGCCAGGATGCTCAGTGCAGCAAGGTTGGAGATGGTGCCGAATAACATTGTGAAGCAGGATATTGCTAAGCCTGAATTGCTCATGGGAGGTGGGACGCTACTATTCGGCTGGCCACATGTCTGATTCAGATGGCAAGTTGTCATCATTTCCATTGATACCTACAAAAAGAAAAATTATGAAAAAGTTTAAAAGAACATGCATTAGTTAAAGTCTACAATTTTTTAGCTAATTTCAACCTGTTTTGCCATCTAGATATCTCAAGTAAATTGCAGACAACAACACATCAGAGAAGTTAAAAACAAACAAACAAAAACTCAGTAGATACATGCTTTACTGGGCAGCTCAAAGTAATAATAAGTGGTATGTTTCTGACAAATGGGATTTAAAGAGCGTTTAGATGAGCCTCTATTCCTTGGCAAGAATGAAACACAGTAGATAAAACCCTGCTTTTATTCCTAATGAATGATGTAGACTAATAATGCTTAAAACATGCCTCAAATAGGGTCATGCAACAGGCTTGATTGAAGTACAGGAGCAAATCTATACTAGAACGGCTGAAAAAGAAAACAAAACAGAGTGCTGCAATGCCCAAGTCAAAATTCAGACCTCAACTCATCTAAGAGAGCTGTGCATAAATGAACTGAAGCAACACTGTAAAGGAGAGTGGGGAAAGCTGAGTTAAACTGCACTTGAGCTTTTGATGTTATAGGCCTGAGATAATAGAGTAACATCAACTAGAGCTTTAATGAATATGAATAATCTCCTTTGGTCTGCTAATCAGTTATTTCAGTAAGTCTGAAATCATTACAGAGGAATTCAAGGGTAATACTAAGAAAGTGTCACTAGTGTCCAAAGAAGGTTGTCCTTTAACTATGACTGGATCTGTTTATTTCTTTTTTTGGGGGGGGGGTAAGTAAGAAATGTCTTGCCAAGATCTCCCCACAATCACGTTTTGCTTAAATTATTTCAGTAGAGGGGAATGTATCTAAACATATAGTATTATTTCTATGTAGTAAATTGCCATTAACTTACCTTCAGACTCCTTTGATGAACACTCAAAAGGAATGAAGGATGATGAATGTGCCTCTTGATAACACAGATGCCTCATGTACCAAATCACAGTATGATCACAGTTGCCTACGGTTATTTACTTTCATTCCCCTCCCCTAATTTTTTTTCTTGTCCTCTGAAAGCTCCTCTTCCTGCCTGGTCTACCTTTCTCTTTCTCTATCTGCAGACAGGTTTCTCTGCATACTATTCTTTCCCGTCTGAACATGTCCTCTAATCTACTCGTAAGAGATACTCATTTGGAACAGAGTAGAGCTAAAAAAATGTTAGTCCTCACTAACATTTTCTTCCTCAAATTCCAGCATTTATACACCAGACAAAAATCATCAAAAGAGTTTGAAAGAGTAGATGATAATTAGATACTTAGATGCACCATCACATGCTAAACAACATCCTAACAGGTATCTCACATATTAAAAATTATATTATTGAAAAAGTATTTTAGACATGTATTTAAACATTTTCTAAACAAGGAATTTGCAATGATAACTTAAACAGCATTATTCATAAACCTATGTGTAGACTTCAGAGTTGTTCAGTTGTTATCTGTGATCTTACGTAAACAGGAAGGAAGTGGAGACAGTCTCCCATTTCCTCTCTGAGTATAACTATTTCAGTCTTTGAAGTTGAACCCTCAGATCTAAGAAACATAAGGGGAAAGATGGAAAATGTCATTGAATGGAAGCGGAATTATTTATTTTATTTCTGCTAAACGACTAAAGAAAAATAGAACTCTTTATCCTTCCACTGTTTTTATTTTCCAGATAAAATAAAATGAATGAAGTCGGAAATGTCAATACACAAAGGCCTAAAATATTACAGAGAATATGTATTCAGTTTAAAGCTTCTGAAAATGTAAACAGAAAAACATTAAAATACAATTTTGACTAATTTAAAGACATGTCAGAAGGTGCTTCTGGAGAAAATTGTGGATGCCACAAAAAGCATTATTATGTTACCCTGTGTGGAGCTCTGCTTTATCTGTTTAATCTCTTCAAGCTTCTTTTGAAAAATAAATAAACAGAAAGGAAATTGATGTAACAAGCTTTGTGTAAAGTCATGTTACCAAGAAAGTTTGAGTGCTGTGTAAAATGCAACACACGCAGACACAAACACACACGATGTGAAATAAAAGTTTTGAAAATTGAATATTCTCTGTGTTGCAGCAAGGATTCTTTTAAAAGCACTGTAAGTGTAAGTGTTAGGACACTGAAGGGAAGAACTGCTGTAATAGTTTTTATATATAATGTTTATTTATATAACGTTTTTAGTCTCACAATTTTTTGTGCCAATGTGTTCTTGGCACCAAATTAAAAATGATATTATTTCTTCACAAGCAATCAAGTTTGACAGTTTTTTTTTGTTCCACATTCTTTTTGAAGAAACCATCATTTTTTGGGCCTAAAAAAATCTTGTATATGCAGTTTTTCTTAAAGCTGTTTTTCTTTTGTGATTTCATCTCATCAAAGAAAGTATCTGTAGCTCATCAATGACACTGCTGTAAAGCCTGTAGCAATAAAATCACAATGTGACTGGAGTGGGTTACAATCTGACAAGATTGGTTAGAAATGCAGTATATGTTGGCATGTGATTACCAGAGCAAAAGGCAGGATCTCCAGCAGCTATCTCCATCTGGATGTCCAAATTAGCATGCTTAGTTGATAAAGCCGTGCTTCCTTTGGATATAACAGGCCCCTTATGTACAAGCAGGTCCGCCTCTGAAACCAGACAGACTTTTCTGAACATGCGTTGCTTCTTTGCTAATACTGTATAAAATATAAGTTAAAGGTTGAATTCTACTTAACGAATGGTCAAAAATTCAACTGATTTACCTCTATTTAATGTTTGTGAGTAGAACATATCTCTGAAGTGGTAGTTAAGTGCCCTATGAATCTCAGAGCATTTCCCACTAAGACCAGAACATGTGAAACTTTCCTTTTAGAATTGACTGCTCTGGGCAAGAGGTCATCAGTCAAATTCAGTAATCTCTACAGGCACAGGAGAAGAGAAGGAGATGGAGTGAAATACAGTTAAAGTCAGAAAATATTTAGCCCATGACACAATTTTAAATAATTTATTTCTGTTTTTCAGTAGATGAGAATTCAACAAGTTAAAGCTAAGCTAATGAAACTCAGCTTTAATTCAAGTGACTCAACAAATAAATAAATGAACAAATTAAAACATTATTATAATTATTCCTATTTTTCTACCCAGTCACCTTTACTAATGCCCTTTGTCTATTTATTAATTTATTAATTAGAGTCATAACAAATTAATCAGAAAGAAATAGCAAGCGCAACACGAACAGTTTTCCAACATCCATCCATAGGGTCACCAGACGCTATCCTACAAAGAATGTCCTCTTCATTCAGGTCCACTGATTTCTTACTGTCTCTGAGCTCCTGAGAGATTTATTTCAGATAATTCACAAGGGCAGTTCAGTTTTTTTGTATTCTCACTGGCTCAAAATGGTTCCATTTCTGCAGTGGAAATGGGCATTATTAAGAACAAAAATATTATTGATCATTTAGTGGGAAAGAATGGATGGATGGGTTTTGAGATTAAAGTAAAAAAAAATGAGATTAAAGTAATAATTCTATTTTGAGAAAAACATCATAATGTGGAGATTACATTTGTTGTTTCAAGACAAACTGGCACACCTGCTACCCTCTACAAAATGCCCCGTGTAGATGAACAAATTGATGAGCTGTCTTATTGTGTTTTGTTATACAACATACATCCTCTTTATTGAACAAGGGTGTAATCATCAATACCGTTGCATCTGTCCATTGCCAGCCATTTCACTACAAATCTGGCCAACTCTTCCAGGTTTGTGCGTGCTTTTCTTTCTGATCGCATGCAGCTGTCTGAAAATTAAGCTTCTACAATTTAATGTAATCAACCCCTATAGTATGTCTGTGAAGGTTCTCAGTCATCCAGGTCATCGTAGTCAAAGGAGCTTGCAAAGAAAAGCGTCTGGACTTTAACCCTTATAGTAGTTTTCTAAATATTACAAATCTAATTATATTGTTATATAACAATGCCTAGAGATGATAAACATTTTGCTGCATTATGTCATACTCAGCCCTCACCTCCTTATTGTTCCAGATTCCCAGACAAGTTAAATCAGCCAGATTTTAGTCTGAAGCCAGCATTGCAGAAACAGTAATAACTGCCTTGTGTGTTGATACATGATGCATTGTGAACACAGAGATTTCCTTTTTGAAATTTGTTAATGTCTAGATGAGCAGAAAGAAGACATTTAAGAAGAGCTGAGAAAAAAAAATCTTAAGCCATCACCTTGAACACAGAAGAGAAAAAGTTTGTTGCAAACACAGATTTCATTTATTCAATGTTATTTCAAAAAATCATGTTGCAGATTATACATGTCTATATATTTGCATCTATAGATATAGATAGATATTACATAAATTATATATTGGTGTCAAAATGTAATATAAACAAATCATAAAAGCTCTCATTCAAAACAAGGATACCTAATTATTCATATTTCTTAATTTGTACATTATAAATGCTCTTTGCAACTGTATTACACAAAAGAAAAATGAACCTGGTCAACCTGTTCAACCTTCACTGTTCATAATATTTCAAACACAGGATGCCAGATGTGTGTCCTGAGTGAAGTTACTGTTAGTAGTCTTATCTGCAAACACCATCAGCCTTCCTTTCTGGTGAGCTAGCATCCGAATGTTGCATGTAGTTTCTGCTGAGTGGTTATATTTCAATTTACTCTGAAAGCATACATAGAACTTCTCAAGTGCTGCACCCTTTATATTTTCCCTGTACAGAGAAGGGAGTGGGAGCCCCAACTAGTGGTAGGTAACACAACAACATTACAGAACCAACAGTTAACTGAATATAAATTCAGGCAAAAAAAAAGATGATTAGTTTAACCAACAACAGGGTGATGGTAAATATGACTGAGGTTAGGGTAAACCTCGGCTGCTTGAAAATGAAGTCAAAGCAGAAATTGCAACTATTGCAGTTTCTCTAGATGACACAAGAAGTTGGTTCCAAAAGGGGAGTCAGTCTGCATAGACTATGTTAAAAAGGCAAATTTTATAGCATTAAAAAGCATATTTACAGCCTAGTACAAAAACCCTTTTGACATCTTCAGAAATTTCCGCTTCAGAAATGACCAGGGAAATTCTACAGATATCAGCAAGTATACAAAGTCATCATCCCTCCACTTTTATAAGATTGCTTAAGAGATATTTGTCCAGTACAAAAACTGAAATATACATGTCAGCAGTTTTTATCCGGCAGGTGATTACTTTCTAGCTCCTCAAAGTTGACATTCTCTTGTATCCTGGGCACTCTTCGAAACCTGATGATGACAAAATGAAGAATATTCATATTCAAAAAATGATCAAAAATGTCTTTCATTATAACCAAAGGATCTTATTCACTTCACATCTTGATGTCCTTCAGAACAGCTTATCAAACAAACAAAATGGTCAAATTTCGAAGGTGTTCAAAATGAAACTTCAGGAATAGTTTGCGGCAGTACCGCTGCCGATCAAATGTTAATCTGTGCCATCAATTTCTGTAAATAACTGCTTACACGAGCTTTTCTGTCACTCTTCTTCCGAGGAGCACACATTCTGGTCAAGGCATGTTTGTACTCTTCCCTCACCTAAAATGAGGATATAAATGAAATTTTACCAACCGGCAAGAACTTCTTATTTAGTTAAGCATGAATATTACTAACCTGCCTGGAAAACAGACAATACACTGCAAAGAGTGTAACTCCTTCCAGGCTGCCAAAGATGGTGAGGTAAGCCATGGCTGTATGGTTTTCCTGAAACTGGAAAGAACCAAAGATCCAGGTGTTGCCCAATACAAATAGCTGAGCCACTGCACTAATGGTGAATGCCCTGCAGAAAACATGTTGCAGGCAAGAAAATGAATGACCGATTGAAAAATCAGCCTTTGTTGGCTACGGACCAATCCCAAAACAAAAATCCAAAACCTAGATAAAAAATTCTAAAGCAACGTAAGAAATAATCTAAACAGCACAACCAAAACTCAACAGGATCATGATAGTGATTTCTATGCGCAGCTTATGGGTAACTTACTCTATTTTGTGCAGGTCATCCAGGTCAGGGTTTACACTTGAGAACTTCTGTGCTAACTTCCATACAGTTATGAAAAAGAAGAAAATGTTTACCTGAAAAAGCAAAAACAAATGAACAACAAAAGCAACATTTATGTTTAAATCAGCTTTTTTTTTTTTTTACACATCATTTTACTCTATAATCATTTCCCTAAATTGATTTCAACTTTACTTACAATGATGATTACATATGCAGGGCCAAAGTAATTCCAAATAAATCCCTGGGTTACCCAACAGCTGAAATGCACATTAAGAGTTAAGATAAATAGAGATTCAAGGATAAATTGATGATAAAATTTTAGGAATAGAGGGAACTTACTATCTCTCAGTGCCATGTCCCCTGGAATTAGCTAAGGCAGAGATGGCAACAATAACAGCTGGAACTCCATAGGCAGCTGCCATCATGTGGAGGGTTTTAAAGTTGGTGTTCGAAACAAGCATTATCATCCTGAACAGTTGTACACTGTCCAGACACATCCATAAAAATGTTGCCAGATAGGAAAAATGCAGGATCCCTGTCACCACTGTGCAGCCATCCTAATGGGGAAGAGATGAGATATTGCCGAACTAGACTTACTAAACTTCTGTTCTTTTCCTCATTTTGTCCCTTTACATCACAATTCAAGTTAAGTAAAAAATTCTGGATCTGCATTCATCTGAGCTTCAAACACAGTTAGTATTTACCTGGTTCTCAAAATGAGAGATTCCTGCTAGAAAGGCAAGGTTTGCAATGAAGAGGCTGATGCAGAGATGCAGGTGGATGGTGGTTCTTGGACTTTTAATAGAGCGGATCATTGAGAATGTCAAGATGGAGATGAATAAGAAAATCAGTGAAATGGACAGGAACACCCATATGATCAGATGAAATTCAAACTTCTCCTGTTGGGAAAGTAAATGAAAGTACATGAAAGTGGATTAAAGGTTTAACTACTAAATAGTCTGAAGTTTAAATGTTGCGGTTAATTAGTTTAAACCTTAATTTCATTGTAAGCCGTGAGTATAGCAAAGGTTCCCAGGTGGTTACAGGAACAGGAAGTATATTCCAGGTTTGACTCTGCCACACCGCAACCACGATCAGACCATGATCCTCCATTCACCGAGGAATCCCAGAACACACAGATGTGGAATGTTTGATTTGCCTATAAAACAAATATATGTGGGGGGGTTTTTGGCAAAAGTGATCACCACAATCTGAAACAACAAATGAGAGATAACCTCTACCTGTTCTTCTAGGTGGTTTAAAGTTAGGTTAACTGGCGTTTTGAGGTGGCTTGTATTTCTGTTGCTGACAGTGACAGTCACCACTTTGGAGTTTATCTTAAAGCTCTGGTTCTTTTGTGATTTCATTCCATTAAAGAAGCCATCTGTAGAGTTTTCCAGGTTTGAATAACTCATCAAGGACACTGTTGTAAAGCCTGTAAGAATGAAAGGAGAGCATCATTAGAGGGGCTCATAATTTGATGAAATTGGTTAGAAATATAGTATTTGTTGGCATATGATTACCGGGGTAATAGGCAGGATCTCCAGTAGCTATCTCCATCTGGATGTCCAAGTTAGCATGCTTAGTTGATAATGTTATGTTTCCTTTAGGTATAACAGGCCCCTTGTGTACAAACATGTCCAGCTCTGAAACCAGACAGACTTTTCTGAACATGCATTGCTGGTTTCCTAAAATTGTATCAATAAAAAATCATCTAAAAGTGAATTGATTTATTTTCTTCGAATTTCTATTTAACCTGTCTGAGTTGAGGAGATATAAATCCTTGAAGAATTAGTGAAGGGTCCTATGAGTCTCAGAGCATTTCCCACCAAGTCAAGAAAGTCTGAAACTTTCCTTTTATAATTAAGAAATGCACTGGACAAGAGCTCATCAGTCATATTCAGGAATCTCTACAGGCACAGGAGAAGAGAGGAAGATGGAGTAAAATACACTTAAGTCAGGCAATATTTACACACGGGCAGACATGCAGACACACATTCAGGGTTACAGGGGGCTTTAGTCTATCTCACATAAATAAAAAATAAGAATGAAATGATGAGCTAAGCAACACAAAAAGGCAGCAGAAGACAACAGCGTTGGATGATTGCTGAAAACTTTTCACCCAGTAAAAGAACACCTTAACATCCAGCAAGTGAAGAAAACTCTCTAGTAGGTTGGCATATCATATTTACAAATTAATTATCCAAGCCTAGCACAATGAAAAAAAAACACAAAGACTACATGAAAAGGCCAGATTGTGAATGCTCTTCACTCAGCATTTAAGACAAAAAAAGAGATATTTGTGATTATGTGTGAACAATGCAATCATTCTTTAGGAGTTAATGTAATACTTTCTTTAGCTTGAATTACAGCTGAAAGCACACATTTTAATTGCATTAATTGCATTTAAATGTTTCATTTAAAATCTATTGCAGTACATAACAATATTTCTTAGAAATCTGTTACTGTCCAAATGTTTCTGGACATAATCGTAACTGCAGGGTGAAACAAGAAAGAGTTAGACTGAGGCAGACTTTGATACTGGGGTCAACATCAACAGTCTACAAGAAATCTGAACACCATATCCCCCCCTTCCACCCCCCTCCCAAAAAAAAAAAAGACTACAGTTTACTTTAGTTGTACCTTTAGAGTCTCCTCTCCATTCAGCTCTACCGGTCTTTTGTTGTTTGTGAGTTCCTGACAGGTTTTTTCCATGTAATTCACTAAGCCATCTGCAATATGAAATCTCTAGAAGAGGGATTGGAGGATGATAAAATAAATCTATGAGATAATACGCATTTCAAATATATTTTGACTCGTGATATAACTGTGTCTTGTGTGGAGTTACCTCTTTCACATCATTTATATCTTTGAAAACATCACAGTTTAATTCTGAGGAAATAAAGTATTAAAAGTTTTTACTGATGACCAAAGTTTTCTGTTCATGCATTTACTTTGAAGAAAATCAGATTAAAATGGATCTTGGCAAAGTTCAGTTTTTATTGTATTCTCACCAGTGCACCGTGCCGTTTTGTTGCCATAGTTAGTGAACCCTGCGTTGCAGATGCAGTAATAACTGCCTTGTGTGTTGTTACATAATCCATTCTGACCACAGGGATTTCCTTTATGACATTCGTTAATATCTAGAGCAGCAGGAAGAAGACATGTAAGAATACCTCTGAAAAAAAATCCTCTGCCATCACCTTAAACTGAAGAGCTCACTCTAAAATGGCAGCACCAATGAGAACAACATTTTACCTTCACATGTAGCATTTTGATCGTGACGAAAGATTTTATTCCCAGTAGTAGAAATGAATCCATCATCACAGGTGCACGAGTAATAGGGGATAATATTCACACATTTGGCGTTAGATCCACAGATGTCTTTGATTTCCAAACATTCTTTAATATCTTTTAAAAAAAGAAGAAGAGACCTTTAATCTTTACATACATTATGACTGTATGACATAAACTTTCTCCAAACCAACCACAGAGTTGTTGTCACAATAAATTTGAGATGACTTACCTATACATGCACCAAGTGTAAAATTCACCTTCCCTCTTGGGTGTCTGAAACCACCTTTACATTGGCAGTAGTACCTCCCAATTGTGTTTGTGCAGACTGTATTGTTTCCACATGGCTTTTCATCTATACATGTCTTTGTAAGGACACAGAAACGTGAAAAGATGTATTTGCATAAATATGTGCTTCAATATGAATTTGTTACAGATTTTAAAAATAAAAATAGCTTGAAAATCCAAAAACTCAAACTTTTGATAGAAAATTTTTAAAACACATATTTGTTGTTTTTTATTTAAAATAAATTTCAGAGATTATACATGTTATATGTTTAATTTTGTTTTAAATACAAATGCACACATTGCTCAGCTTGCACGTTTTCCATTACTGATTAAGTGTCTGATGTTTTGTTTTGTAAAGATTTTCATACCAATGCACTCCTTTTTCTTTGCTGAAAATCCTTTAGGGCAGCCTGCTGATACTGACAGCACCATGATGAGGAAGAAAGACAGAGCTAAAAAAAAACAAGCAGAGAACTGTCAGCCTAGTATACTATGGTTCAGTACCTTTTGAACATTAATCTATCCTGATGTTTTATTCTGATTATGAATTTTGTTTATCATATAAATTGCAAAAAAAAGTTTATGATTAGTAAAAGGTCTGGGAAGAAGAAGCAAAGGCCCTCATTCTCTATCCTAATTTCCTCACATTAAATATGATTCTAAATAAACAGCACATTGGTGTCTGGAGAACTGTGCTTCCTATGAGTGAGAAAACATTACATGCCAGAGCACAAAAACAAACCATTATTACATCTGGGAGTTTGCACAGACCATTTACTTTGAACTCCTAACTGACAGCTGATGGGTGCAGTATAAAGTTGGCCATTTAAAAACACAAAGAAATTTAGTGTAATCTTTGAAACAAATAACTAATTTATTGTTACCCAGTCAGCTGAATATGCTCAGGAATATGCCACACATTTTTCTTTTTTTGGAGGGGGTGGAGACTGAAACACCTGTCGTTGTGTTTACAGTTTATTGTTTTCCATGAAAGAAAACTGTTGTCAGTTTAAAACTTTTGGTTGCTAGCTGCAGCAATACTTAATCATTTATTTGCTGACTTACTGTAACTCACTGTTAGACTCACTGTTAAGGACACAGAAATGCAAAAGGATGTGTTTGTATAAATATGTGCTTCAATATGAATTTAAAATAGATTTTAAATTCAAAATGAATTTTGATGCTACAAAAAAGTTTGATATACATAGTTGTTATTGATATTTCATAAAAATAATTTTAACAGATTATACATGTTATATGTTTTTATTTTTTAAATGAAAATGCACACATAAGTGTCAGATGTTTTCTTTTTCATACCCATGCATTGTTTTTTCTTCATGCTGAATCCTGGATTGCAGCCTGCGGATACCAACAGCACCATGACGAGGAAGAAAGACAGAGCTGAAAAACAAGCAGAGAACATTGGCAGTGGAAACTTACATTTGTGTTGTTGCACACTGTAATTTCTTCACACCATTTGTAATTTTCACATTCATTTATATCTTTGTTAAGGAAACAGAAATTTGAGGGATGAATTTGTACAAATATGTGCTTCAGTATGAATTTGAGATTTCTCTACATGGCTTGTAATTTTTATCTATAAAAAAATAATGTGAAACAATGTAGTTGCACAAATATATGCTTCAAAATGAATTTGATATGCATTTAAAAATCAAAATGGCTGGTTAGGGGCCTAGCAGGGCCTCTTCTTGAAATTGCCCTTGTGTGGTTGTGGTGTTCTCTCTCCGCCTCCTCCTCTCTTGCTCCACCCCTCTGTCTCTCTCTCACTCTTCTCTCTCCCCAGGACACAGCTGCTTTTGATTAGCCTCATTTACCACCTGGGCCCAGTTAGCAATCACCTCTCTGAGGCTATATAAGCTGGGGATGAACTGTGAGTGAGTTGGTTTTCTTCCCCCTAGGTTTTGGACAGGCTCCTTCGAGTCGTGAGTAGATGGGCTTGTGGGCTCCGGCAGTGTCTCCCTTATTTGTTTGGTAGTTTTTTCCTTTGTTGCTGCGACTGCTTCCTTTGTTTCTTTGGCATTATTGGTAAAACGGTGTTGCCGGCTCTTTAAGTTAAGATTATTTGTAATAAAGCTATAATATATACTGAGCACTCTGTCTGGTTTCCTTTCATTCAGCTCTGGACCCATTTGCTACCGGTCCCCACACTCATACCCCTCGACCTCATCGTGGGGACATAACAAATAGAAACTTGATACTGAACTTTTATGTTTTCTTTCTCTAGTATACTAGAGAAAGGAAAAAATAAAAGTTCAGATTTAGCCAACAGTACCATCAGTAATCACCAGTGTGGTGTGAGGTGAACTGTATTTCCTCTAAGAACTGAACTGTATTTGCTATGAAAGAATGTAATTTGTTTTGTAGAACCATGTTGATATATGCTAACATTACATTTAGTATATATACTGACAATGTATGACCAAAAGCTCATACATTTTCTTATTTACCGGCTGCAAACTTGGTATGCAGGTTTAAATGGTCCTTGAGTAGGACAACATGTTCAAGTGCTCTTAATCTATTACAGCATTTATATATTTGCATCTATCAGACTGAATGATTCCCAAGTTACCAAAATGATAGCAGTAATAATCCATTATGCTTGGATATTATTTAAAAATCAAAGTTTGGTTGGTAAAACACTATTTATTCATTTATGTAAATTTTATTATGGTGAAGTTGTAATTCACCATTACTGCAGGAGGAGGTCAAAAACACAGAACACATAGAGACAGGGTAAAACCCTCAGTTCAAATCAGTTAAAAGGAATAGCCATACACAGGAAAACAGTCAGCATGACAAAAAAAAAGTCTATTAAACAATGTAGCACTCACAAAAGGGAGACCTGAAGGACAACATGGAGACAACATGCAACAGGCTGTAGAAACAGCCCTGATAACAAAGTGAGTGGAGCTATAGGTTTGAACTGATGCTTATCTTTTATAACGGAATGTCAAGGATATCAACAATTATCAAACACTCAGGTGAAGAAACGACACTTAGACACTTGGAGAGAATTTTTAACGTGCACGGGTGAGAGCTCAACAGAGAGACTCACACCCAGCTGCAGGTGTTTTCTTTAATTAAAGCATATATAGCGGTTCCTGTTTTTCATGTTCGTGTGTATGTGTGTGTGCAGCAAGTCATTTTCTAAGAATAATAAAAATAATGCGAGTCAACTTCTGCGGATGTGTGGGTGCGGTGAAGCTCCTATCAGCTTCTGCAAATGTGTATTTTTGTGCTGATCTTGTGGCCTTATCACAAGGCTTGCAGTTTCATGTTTATCAAGCTGAGCTGCACAGTGAAAATATGAACATTATCAGTATTGAAGCAAAGCATAAAAACATTTAAACATTATTTCTTTAACACGGAAAGATGATTTTATAAATAGTTTGTTATGCAAAAACAAAAAGCACCGCTCATCAGAAGGTTTTTCTAAGAGTATCTGTAAATAGTATGTTTTATGAAGCAAAAATAAAAGTGCTCACATTAATCACCTGTAGCACCATTTTCCCCTGTCTCAGAAATGAATACATGTGTCAGATTTGTTAGGCAGATGCTCACATTCTCCTGTGAAGCCTTCATCCCACTTTGTTTTTATAAACTAAAGCTTCCCATGTGTAAAACAAAACATTTAAAAAGAAAGAAAGTAAAAACATATTTTATGTTAGTCAGTTAATGAAATATGTCATCTTAAATGAATTAATTCATGTTTTCACTTTATTTTTTGCATGTTAACCTTTTGAGGTAAGTCATCATCCATCATGTCCTTAAGCCTAGCTTCAAGCCACTAACCCTACGTTCTGGACAGAAGCAAAACGATCTGTCAGGATTTGGAAAATGAGGACCCAAACGCAGACACATGAAGAAAGACTCACTAAAAATAAAACACGGGTTTATGGATAAAAATCCAGAACTCCATAAACACAAACCCAGAAAAAGAAATGCCACACGGAAATACAATGTGAGCATGATAGAAACTGTGACGGAGGGGAAAAAACACTATTTATGAACACACAGACACACTAAGGGATAATGAGGGAAATGGGAAACACAGGTAGCAAGACACAAAACACTCAAGACCACAAGACAGGTGAAGTGGAACTAGCTATAAGACACAGAAGACAAACTATCAAAATAAAACACAAAATCATTGACTAACATACATAATGAACATGATTATTTTGTTATTATATTCACTAAGATGTGGGAGAACAGGATTAAAACATACCCATTAGCATCTTTTTTCCCTCTGTTTTAGCAGTTTATTTTTCTTTAGGGAGACAAATGAAGCATACTTTGAGACTCGTAGTTCAGCCACTGCCATATTTGAACATGGAGAGAAGCAGTTGAGAAAGGAAGCGGAAAAAGAGGGTTTAGAAGGTGTTATGGTGGAAGGTGATCTTTATTTTCATTTATAGTATATATAAATTAAATTCCTGCACATGCAAACATGCAGCTCTGTGCATATAGTTTCTGTATATTACTGTATTACAAGGCATCAGTCCACTTGTAGTTGAGTAATTGCAAAAAAAAAATTACATTTTGAAAATTGTGATCCAACATTAGATTTAATATGAAAAGCATGAAAAAAGCTATGAAAGGTTCGTATGTAACTTCTTATAAAATATTTTCCCCTGTTACTCCTGTGCAAATGTATGATAGATGTGACTCACCCAGTATCAGCAGGATCCGCGTGCCTGTTATGTTGGAAGCAGTGTGCAGATCTCTATGGATGAAATCAGTGAAAATGTAAAAGTAGCTACAAGTTAGGCTAATATTGTAAAACAAATATATATATTTAAAAATGCCAAGATCTTAACATTACATAGAATGACCAGGTCTTTTTCTCTCTCTGGCTAGCTGTCTTTTCTCGTCACGTCAAATTCTTATCCGCCCATATCATCATGCCGCCAGGGGTGTTCAATGCTTATCACCATAAAGTGTCACTGTGGTGACAAGACCCCGTGTTTATCGCTTCCTGCTTCTATTTTTTACTATTTTTTCAAGACTATGTATCTTTTTTTTTTTTTTACATGAACAGTATAGCAGCACTTTATTTGCTATCACTTCAGAATACACCCCTGTCATGAAACTGTGTTTGGCAGGCAGGATTGCACCCAAAATGCAGCTCTCAGAGACAGAACTGAACTCAAAATGAAGCCTTATTCCTGGATTCACAGAATACATTAAACTAGGAAACAACAGGGAAGCTAAACTGGGAAATACAAACAGACAGTAGACACAGCCAGAGAAATGAGGGAGATCTCGACACTGGATGGAGGGAGACACAGATGATATATACACAAGAGGAAATCAGGGCAGAGACAGGGGAAGCAAAACTGAACATGATGCACACATGACAGGTGCCTGTCAAAGTAAAACAAGTGACAAGAACAGTGAGACTAAGGCACATGTACTCGTGCCTGGTTCTGTTGGAAGTTTCTTCCTGTTAAAAGGGAGTTTTTTCTTCCCACTGTCACCAGAGCTCTTGCTCGTAATGGGTCATATGACTGTTGGAATTTTGTCTGTTTTCTTTGTTTTACTGTATTACGGTCTTTACATTAAGGTATAAACCGCCTTGAGGCAACTGTTGTTTTCATTTGCCGCTGTAATAAATTGGAATTGAATTGAACCTTGCAGCTGCAGCTCTTTGCAGCAGATTCAGCAATGGAGGGGCTATTTCCTCACCCTTTTTCTGAATGCTCCTGAATCTCTGCCAGAGATGATCTGTGCCAGCAGTGTACACTCACTATATGTTTGGGTACATTATATTTGTCCACCTCTCTTCACCCAAATGTCCAGTATGGCGGCTGAAGATATAATAACAAAGTTGATCACTGATCTGCAACTTTGGGTGTCCATATGCTGGAACGTGGTGTCCGTCATGAAAAAGCAGTGATTAGCACGAAAGTCCAATAACAGAACACCAGTTGAGTTAAGATCAGACATGCCATTCCTCCCAGTCATGCCCTTTTAGGTCTCATTGTTGTTTCCCACATGGGCATTGAAGTCCCCCAGCAGAACAATGGAGCCCCTGGAGGGAGAACTCTCCAGCACTCCACCAAGGGACTCTAAAGTGGGTTTTATGCTGCTACAGATGTGTTTGTCTGTGTACATTTTTCTGTCAGGCAGAGGGGTGAGGGGTCACCCACAGGAGACAGTACCGTGCAATTCTCCAAGTTGTTGACTGCATGTTGCTGGAGGACATGATCTATGTGACTGATTTATATAATATAACATATCGAAAATATAACATTTGAAGACAATGTCAGAAAATACTACTAAAATGGATAAGTATTACTATTATTAATATAATTATTTTTAGAGGTGCTCAAAACTAAACTTGCCTTTGGGCTGCAGTGACACTTTATTTTTGTTATTTTTAACACTTGGTTTCACTTCAGCTCTTTATATGTTATAACTTCGCACTCCTCTGCGGCTGGCTCACGAACCAACCACAGCATGAACATGAGAGGCCCACAGACCAGCTGTGGCACACTGCCTTTATCTGACAACAGAGCCCACTGAAAAACCAGCAGGCCCTCGAGTTGAGAGTGTGTGTGAGAGAGAGACCTTTGCCTTGTGTTTCAGGGGTGAGACCTGTTCCTGAGCTCCAGCACTCTGGTTTCACACACCTGAAGGTAATTAACTCAACTGTCTATTCTCACGCATCACCAGCTGCTACTTAAGATGGAGGGGTTCCTTCACTTGAGTTGTTGGTCTGTGTCTGCAAAGTGTGGCTCCTCAAGTTTTACAGTGTTACTCTTGTGCTTACCTGCTGTGTCCTTTAGTCATCAATCTCTCTTTGTGCAGAAACTGTGGTGTGGAAAATTGGGAAGAAATAGTCATGTGGAGAGAAGGAATCGGTGGTCTTCCATGTTTGACCTGGCCACAGAGCTCACTGCATGAAAGTCATTGTGCTGAATCTTTGTACTCACTTGCTGTAAATAAACCTGTGAACCCTTACTTCAGAGCCCCCGTTTGAGTCCCCCTTTGACTGCTGGATATGACTGAAACATATGTTCACTAACAATTTTACAGCTTATAACCAGCTGATAGACCTCAATGTCTCTTACTGTTAAGAAAACCTAATGCATGGATCGGTTGAGTCACATGCTTTTTCAGCATCTGTACTAACCAATAATGATATTTGGTACTAATTTACATTTGTATTAAAAATATAATATTATATAATATAATCTTCATGTCAAATTACAAAATAAAATAAATCTCAGCTTCAGTATGTGTTATATAATATGTTATGGGGAAATACGTTATTTCAAATATGATAATTCAAAGCTAATTATTTTTATATCATAATTTACTCTTGGTGACTCTTAAACAAGACAAAAAATGAGTCTAAAAGTACAAAACAAAACAAAAACACTCTAACTGATGGCATTAAACATTGAGCGTACAAATTTGTACCAGTCATATTAAAAAAAAAAAAAAAAAGGGGGGGGGGGGGAGATGTGTTGTTTAACCAACACCAGTAAATATGCATTTTACTTTTTAAAATTATTTCTTAGCATATCAACTTGCCTGGACTACCAAAAATGGGACTACTGCATGATGGACTTATGCAGTGTACACTTGAAATGATGTGGATTGTCTCTTGGGTGTTTACTAAGAAACTGAACTGCTTGTATGAACTGGTGATGTTAAAGAAAACTCAGCCATCTGGTCTGCTAAGCAGCCCCTAATGTGTGCAGTGTAAATGAATGGAACTACATTTACAGGACTAATTTAACATGAAAACATAAACATTATCTTAAAGAGTCTAAAACTCCATAGTTCACCTGACTACAGAAACTTTCAAGATATTAGAAGTTTGTTTGTTTGTTTTTTTTTCGCCTGTCCCATTTGGTTCTTTAGCCATCAGAATTGTTGTCTGAAGACCAACAAGAATACCCAATGGATTTACTTTGCCAAATGGATCATCGTGGCATTGCCGTATTGGTCCATTTGGTCGATCTTTGTTTTTATTATTTATTATATTTTATTTTCAGATGTTACAGACGGGACAGACATGAGTGAGAGATAGGAAAGGGAGAAAGAAAGAGGAAGGAAAGGAAAAACAGAAGGGGAGAGGGACAGTGAGAAAGGGGGGGGAGAAAAAAAATAAAAATCTCCTGGATCACCTGTTGAGAGAAGAATAGAAAACAAGCAAAAAAAGACAAAAAAAACAAAACAAAGCAACATACTAAACACAACACCATCGCATTAATCTAGCTAAGTGTAAACAGCAGTAAATACTAAATATTCAATGTTGTTGTGCAGCACGCAGGACAGATGTGCTTCGAAGTAGCAGCCAAGAAAGGTGTAATTTGGGTCTACGAGCAGTGAACACCCGTGTGCATACCTGTGTGGATCAGCGTGCTTGTATTCCAAAGGTTTCTCCATGTAACGATCTGCTAGGGAGTGTGGGGGGGCCACAGCCCCGTCCTCCAGGGTGTGAAGCAGGTATGGAGGAGATCAAAACTCCAGACATCCAGAGGCCCCCAGAACACAAGAAACCATGGAAGACCAACAGAGGGGCAGCCGCGCCACTTTTCCAGTAAGAGCTGAGGAGAGTCCCAGATGAGGGTTCACTCAGCAGCCGCGGAGCAGAAGCCAGGGGGAGTTGCAGTGACGCGCCCGTGAGCTCCGCCGGCCGCCAGCTGTGCCTGAGTGACCGAGCCCCAGGCCGAGAGGCCGGGGGCACCCCACCCCGAAGGGGCCCGAGCGAGCCCCAGGCTCCAGGCCCCGATAAGCGGCCGCCAAGGAGTGAGCCAGTGTGTACCTGGACGCCCACCCCCAGACACAAAGAACCACCAACGCACCGACACCTGAGGGAGTCCGCCACCGGCAGGGGAAGTGGTGGTAGGTGGAGATAGGCCTCCAAACCTTGGAGGGCCTGAGGTGTCCCCAGAGAGGTGGCGTCTGATACCCAGCCTGACATATAGACACTGACATACAGACACACACAGATACAAACCTCCATTCCCCCCCTCATGCTCTCATATGCACTCACTCCACACTCAACCAACGTGGAGACAGACATAAAGAGACGCTGTACACACGATCACACTCCCCAAGCGTACTCTACAAACCGGGTCTAGGTACCCTTGCCCCTGGAGGGGGGAACTGCACCCAGACCCAGGTGGTGTTACCCTTTTCCCTGCGGTGGGGAGAGGCAGACCACCCCGACTCCGTAGCAGCAGGGAGGCCCCACACTCCAGACCGCAGTCGCACGGCCAACTCCACCTAGCCCTCCCGCTCCAGCAGGCCGCAGAGAATGGGGGTGGGAGAAGACTCCAAACCTCCCTCCACCCGCTCATTGTAGTGTTGATGCATATGTGTTCTAAGGTGCAATTAAAACCCAGGAGGACATGGCGCTACCTGCCAAGGAGCAGCAGGTAAGCGCATAGTCCCTCCTGCTAGCCCTCAATGACTAAGTGTATTTAAAATTGAGAGGTGGGCAACGACGCCAGGGGTGAGGTGTACACCCTGATGGTAATTTGGACTCCGTGATTGTGCCCACCCCCAAGATCCTATATGTATGTGTAATGAGAGTGTGAATAATGTGAATGTCTAAGTTGTGGGATAAAATTGAGGCAGAGGCAGCCAGAAGGGGACAGAGGGGGGGGGGGGGGGTAGCCTCCTCTGCACCCTGGTGACATACCCCTACTCCAAGGCCCTGCATGTGTGGGTGGTTGTGGTGGAGCGGGAAGAGAGAGGCAGCTGGAGATGGGGAGGGAAGGAAGGGAGGGGCAGGTAACCCCTCCCTGGGGCCAGCTCCCCCGCTGACCCCAGTAGGCACTCCCACACTCCGCGACCCGCCAGGGAAAGGGGGCCCAGGCCCATCCAGACCGGGGCCCAGTGCAGCAGCGCCTCCCGGCCCCACAGAGCCCGGGACAGTCCACCCAACCCCACCACAGAGAAAACTGCACCCACCCTACCATCCACTCATCTTACAGACTACATAAGACAGTAAACGCCCAGGCTGAGATCTTCCTCCACCTCTCACCTGTATCTCCCCCTCCTGCAGAGAGAGTTCCTGAAGAGAGGAAAGCTCCTGCAAGATGTGACCATCTCCCCCACCAGTTGAAGAGCCCCCCAGGTGGTTCGACGCACCGGCGGCACCCTGCTCCAGGGCCGGGCCCCCATGCACCCACCCGCCCACAACCCCGGCAACACACCAACCAGGATCCAAGCCCCCGAGGCCCCAAAAAAAAAAAAAAAAAAAAAGATATTAGAAGTTTTTAAAAAAGGAATCTGAAACACTCTCGAAGTGGCAATATTTCTTCTTCTCCACCAAAAGATCCATTTTATTTTTATATTTTTCTTTTCCTTTGAAAGAAATCTTTTGGACCCTGAATGTTTATGACAGAAGACAAAGATAAATAAATATATAAAACATATAAACATGTTTTGGTTAAATCGCTTGGAAGTCACACGGCATAAGTCTTGTAATATTTGATAGTGCTTTTTTGCATTTATAATTATAATGCAGGAAAGTCAGATCAACACTTCATCAGATACAGTCAACTGTGCATGAGAGTAAAACTGACTATTTACTACAACTATGGCATAAACATCAAGAATCACTTTCTAATTCCAACCTAAAATCGGGAAACATTATTTGCTCTTTTTTTCTAAAATACACTGAAATTATATAGTACTTAAAATGTCTTCAAATGTCTTTTTCCTCTAAAATATATAATATAATAAATATATTATATAATATATATAATAAAACTTAAAGTTATTGTCTACTAAGGACGTACTTTATGAAAATTATACCCTGATTTCAAAAAGATGACATTGAAATCATATGCGAAATATGGGGAAATTACACCATAAGGTGCAGTCTGTATTATGAAAATGCTTTAACATTGAATTAAAGCTTTGTGTTCTGAAATAATGGCCAAAAAGTTGACTTTCTGGTGTTCATTGCTAGTTTATTCTCTATATCAAATGCGATACATTTTAAAATCACTAAAGATGATATACATCAGAATATGTATTTACCCTAAAACCTTTAGGAGAACATTAAAAAAATAATTAAAAAAACGTTTTTAACAATAAACATAAATAAAGAAGTAATTGCAAACTGTAAATGCATTAAAAAAAATTTACAATCTTCTAAAATAGCTTCATGATAAAACACAGAGAATGGATGCAGTCAAGAATGAAAACAGGAAAATTGCTCAGCAATATAAACACAAACTTTTAAAACATTTAAATATATGTTTCGATCTCATAATTGTCCTCTTATTGTGGGTCTTTCAGAAGCTTGAGGAAGTGGTTGAAGAAGGTGCTTTTCAGCAAATATGTTTCAGATTGCTCATTAAATACAGTACCTGAATTAAAGAATTAGCATTATTAGATTTACCTGATACAACAGGTCTTTACACAATTATGATAATCTGAAAACATTTTTTCATATCTGAAATTTTTAATACTTGTAGATTTATGCTTCTAAAACTACTTACATAATTTCCTGTTTGAAAAACTTAACAAAATGCTTCTTTTGTAAGGATTTTGTAAGTTGCAATGATTTGAATAGATAACTCAGTGACTTAAAATAAAAGGCCCACACATAGTAAAGAATGATAATATTTACAACATTTTGCAACAAAGCAAACAGGTGCAAACAGATGCGTTATAAGTGCGATGTCAATATGTCCCAATGACTGAAAGTCTCCAGCAAATCAGAGTTTGTCTCAAGTCAGGTTTTAGCTTCTCAAAAATGAGACTCTCCTGTGTCCTGGCTGCTCTTGGATGCCTGAAGATGACAAAGGGGCATAGTTCAATCAGCTGTGAAAACCATCTCAACTGTTCCTTAAGTATAGGGAACAGTTGAGGAACAGTTGCATAAGTATGAAAAAGTATTAAGTATAACATTTTATTTTCTTCTTTAACCAATGGGAAAGAATTGAGTTTCGTTAGGGTTTAAAATTTAAGTAGTTGTTCCATAATAGATCAAATGTTCAAAATGAATGAAAATGAAATGAATCAAATCAAAATGAATGTTCTATAATAAATGTTTGATTTCACTTTAATATTGCTTAGTGACAAAGTCAAAAAAGGAAAACAAAATATAAATAGCTGCTTACTTGAGCTTTGCTGGAGTAATTGAACTCTTTGTAGCTCTTCTTCTGAGGCACACAGAATCTGGCCAGGATGCTTTCATATTCTTCTCTCACCTAAATTCAGAAAATCTTTAGTATGGGCATCACTAAAGACAGCAGAACTCGTCCCTTACTTTTGAGACAAATGTGACTAACCTGTTTGGAAAACAGACAGTGCATGATAAAGAGCATAACACCCTGAAGGCTGCCAAAAATGGTGAACAGGTAAGACATGGCTACAGTGCTTTCCTCAAACTGGAAACAACCAAAGATCCACATGATGCCCAAAACGCACAGCTGTGCCACTGCAGTAATGGTGAATGCCCTGCAGGAGGCAACAAAGATGCATACATGTCATGTGCGAGGTACTTTGGTGAGGCAATAGATTACGTTATACTTTCCACACAGCAATTGCATGGGGCGTTTAGTGTGGGCAGCTTGAGTTGTGACTTACTTTATTTTGTGCAGATTATCAAGATCAGGGTTTAAACTTGAGAACTTCTGTGCTAACTTCCACACAGTTATGAGAAAGAAGAAAATGTTTATCTGAAAGACCAAAGAGATGAGGTTTAAACATAACACAAGTCACCATTTTGGATCACATTAAACTCAATAATTATTTAAATACTTACAATGATGATGACACAGACAGGGCCGAAGAAACTCCAAATGATTTCCAGATTTAGCCAACAACTGAAATGCACATCAAGAGTTTAGTAAGTAAGTAAGTAATTCAAACTTGAATTAACGATAGAACAATATAATTGGAACTGGGAAAACTTACTATCTCTTAGTGCCATATCCTCCAGAATTAGCTAAGACAGAGATGGTAACGATAACAGCTGGAACACCATAGCCAACTGCCATCATGTGGAGGGTTTTAAAGGTGGTGTTGAAGACGAGGACAACCATCCTGAACAGCTGAATGCCCTCCAGACACATCCAGCAAAACGCTGCCAGGTAGCAGAAATGCAAGATTCCTGCTACCACTGCACAGCCAGCCTAATAGGGAAAGTGAAGGAAAGAGGAGGATCAGGGTAACAGACATGAATAATGTGGATGAATATGAAGAGGGAGAAATGTCTAGAAATTTTTCAATTGTTTATGTGTCTATTATATATCTCTTATTAATATCTCTTATGAATAATTCAGTAGTGTGAGATTATTACACTGTCTTATGTTACATTATACCTCTGATTTAAGCTTATGAAATCATTATATAGTTTTCGGTTGCATTATACTATAGTTAGAAGGTGAAATTATTAGATTGATTAGGCTGGTTTGTATTACATTTGACTGCTGATTTACTGTGAATGAATTACACTATCCTATGGTACTTCGTACTGTTGATTTATAAAGAGAATACTGTTTGCAGAGAATCGTGGCTTTGCTTTTCTGATTGTAGAAAGAACAAAACATACTGCACAGGAAGCCAAGGTTGTAACTTAGGCTCACTGAGAGAGAAAGAATGTGAATGCTTAGTGTGGAGGGGGGCTGAAGCTATAAGAATGTGAGAAACAGTCAGACACTTTGAGATTTTGCCGGACACCCTCCCGTGCACATCTCCCATTCGGACATTTGTAATGCTCAAAGTGTTGTATGGAATAAAGAGAATTGTATCGATTAAAGAGATTGTTGATTGAGCATTTATACACCGAGTGTTGTTATTCCTTCAGCCCAAAGATCAAAGAGTTGGGGTATTTAACAGTAGCTTTGCTGCAACTTAGTATACAGTTCTCTGTTATATTTGAAGGTGGCAGAAACTTCTGCTAATGCACACATGCTGATGGCAAGTGGAGTTTCTGTTTACCTTGTTCGCTGTCTGAGAGATTCCCGCTAGAAAGACAAGGTTTGCAATGAAGAGGCTGATGCAGAGATGCAGGTGGATGGTGGTTCTTGTGCTTTTAATGGAGCGGATCATTGAGAATGTCAGGATGGAGATGAATAAGAAAATCAGTGAAATGGACAGGCCCACCCAGGTGATCAGCTGCAACTCGAACTTATTCTATTGTGGAAGAGAAAGAATGGTAACATTATTGTATGAAAATGGGTTGAAGTTTAAACTTATTCTGAACTAAAAGCATTATGGTATATATAATTAGTTTTAACCTCCATCTCATAGAGGGCCATCAGTACAGCAAAGCTGCTCAGGTGATTACAGGAACACACAGTATATTCCGGGTTTGACTTCACCACATCGCAGCCACGATCAGACCATGATCCTCCGTTCACCGAGGAATCCCAGAACACACAGATGTGCGTTTGATTTTTCTGTTAAACAGATGTACACCAGAGATACTGACTGTTCTGTTGTTCCTGTTTGTCAACGTAGATTAACACAGTCCCTAAACATTAGTAGTAAGCTCTCCTCTTTACCTGTATCAAGTGGTCCAAAGTCAGATTCACTGGCGTTTTGAGGTGGCTTGTATTTCTGTTGCTAACAGTGACAGTCACCACTTTGGAGTTTATTTTAAAGCTCTGGTACTTTTGTGGTTTGATCCCATCAAAGAAGGTATCTGTAGAGTCTTCCAGGTTTGAGTAGCTCATCAAGGACACTGTTGTAAAGCCTGAAACAATAAAAGGAGAAAATAATTGGAGTGTGTCATAACGTGATAAAATTGGCTACAAATTTGATATTCGTTGTCATTACCAGGGTAATAGGCAGGTTCTCCAGCCGCCATTTCCATCTGGATGTCCAACTGAGCATGCTTAGTTGATAAAGTTGTGTTTCTTTTGGATATAACAGGCCCATGATGTACCAGCATTTTCAGCTCTGAAACCAGATAAATGTTGTTGTTTTTTCTTATCTTACACTGCTTGTTCAATAATGCTGAAGAAAATGTAATTAATAATAAATGTACAAGCTCTAGGCAAAAGCTCCTATCATATTTGAACATATCTACCTGAATTGGACATATTTGTTTGTTGGTTTGTTTTTCTTTTAAATTCTGCTGCAAATGCAAATTTTTATTAAACCTGTGTGAGTGGAAGTTGTGTTTCTCCCTGGCATCTTCGTCATGGCTCCAATTAGCCTCAGAACATTCTCCACCAAATCCAGAAAGATGGAGACTCTTCTTCTGTCTTTGAGAAATTTACTGGACAAGAGCTGATCTATTTCTGACTGCAATCTCTAAAGACAAAGAGAGGAATGAGAGAGGAGACCATGAGAAACAAGAAACAGAGGCAGACTGAGGCAGACTTTCAGGCTACCTCAGTGTAAACGGTCTATGAGACATCTGAGCATCATGTGACAGTTTGAAAGAGGCAGAGCATTATTTTCCTGCCTGGTTTCAAGAAACTTGATGATTTTTTTTTGCAGTAAGGTTAAAATGTTCTGAATTTAGTAGTACCGTCAATAAGTCCTCTTCAGTCTGGTTTGTCCGATCAGATGGATTCTGACTTTTGTCCCCTGTGAGCTCCTGACAGCTTTTATTGAGCTGCTTCACAATGGGAAGTTTCTAGAAGAGAGATTGGTGGTGGATAAAACAAAAATGTGAGACAACTCTATTCATAATATGTGCTGAATTTTGATACTTTATAGTATTTGTGATGTGGAGTTACCTCTTCCAGCCCGTTTAGAGCTTTGAAAACATCACAGTTCGATTCTGAAGAAAGAAAGTTTAATGAACAAATTTGCTTACGGATGACCAGAGGTATTCAATAAGTGTTCTGTTTGTTTCTGTTGCATTTACTGGGAAGAACCCCAGTTTAATAATGGATGATGGACAGTATTCTCACCAGTGCACCGTGCCGTTTTGTTGCCATAGTTAGTGAACCCTGCGTTGCAGATGCAGTCATAACTGCCTTGTGTGTTGTTACATAATCCATTCTGACCACAGGGATTTCCTTTTTGACATTCGTTAATATCTAGAGCAGCAGGAAGAAGACATGTAAGAATACCTCTGAAAAACAATCCTCTGCCATCACCTTAAACTGAAGAGCTCACTCTAAAATGGAAGCACCAATGAGAACAACATTTTACCTTCACATGTAGCATTTTGATCGTGATGAAAGCTTTTATTCCCAGTAGTAGAAATGAATCCATCATCACAGGTGCACGAGTAATAGGGGATAGTATTCACACATTTGGCGTTAGATCCACATTTGGCTTTGATTTCCAAACATTCTTTAATATCTTTAAAAAAAAGAAGAAGAGACCTTTAATCTTTACATACATTATGACTGTATGACATAAACTTTCTCCAAACCAACCACAGAGTTGTTGTCGCAATAAATTTGAGATGACTTACCTTCGCATGCACCAGTTTTAAAAATCACCTCCCCTGTCCTTCTTTTGAAACCATCTTTACATTGGCAGTAGTAGCTCCCATTTGTGTTTGTGCAGTTTGTATTTTGTCCACATGGCTTCATATCATCATTACATTCGTTTATATCTTTGTAAGGACACAGAAATGTGAAAAGATGTATTTGCATAAATATGTGCTTCAATATGAATTTGTTACAGATTTAAAAATAAAAATAGCTTGAAAATCCAAAAATCATCACAGGTGCACGAGTAATAGGGGATAGTATTCACACATTTGGCGTTAGATCCACATTTGGCTTTGTTTTCCGAACATTCTCGGATATCTTTTAAAAAAGAAGAGACCTTTAATCTTTACATAAGTTATGACTGTATGACATAAACTTTCTCCAAATCAACCACAGAGTTGTTATCACCATAAATTTGAGATGACTTACCATCGCATGCACCAGTTGTAAAATTCACCTCCCCTGTCCTTCTTTTGAAACCATCTTTACATTGGCAGTAGTAGCTCCCAATTGTGTTTGTGCAGTTTGTATGTTGTCCACATGGCTTCACATCATCATTGCATTCGTTTATATCTTTGTAAAGACACAAACATTAGAAAAGATGTATTTGCATAAATATTTTTTTTGATATGATTTTGTTACAGATTAAAAAAAATGTCTTGAAAAATCAAAACTCAAACTTTTGATAGAAAAAGTTTAAAACACATCTTAATTATTTCTTTTTTAATAAAATTATTTAATAGATAATATTAGATTATTTATTAAATAAAAAAAATGCACACATTGCTCAGCTTGCACATTTTCCATTACTGATTAAGTGTCAGATGTTTTGTTTTGTAAAGTTTGTCATACCAATGCACTCTTTTTTCTTTGCTGAAAATCCTAGAGGGCAGCCTGCTGATATTGACAGCACCATGATGAGGAAGAAAGACAGAGCTAAAAAACAAGCAGAGAACTGTCAGCTTTGTATACTATAGTTCAGTAACTTTTGAACATTAATCTATCCTGATGTTTTATTCTGATTATGAATTTTGTTTATCATATAAATTGCACAAAAATGGTTGTGATAGTAAAAGGTCTGGGAAGAAGAAGCAAAGGCCCTCATTCTCTATCATAATTTCCTCACATTATTCCTGCGTCTGAAATATGATTCAAAATAAACAGCACATTGGTGTCTGGAGAACTGTGCTTCCTATGAGTGAGAAAACATTACATGCCAGAGCACAAAAACAAACCATTATTACATCTGCGAGTTTGCACAGACCATTTACTTTGAACTCCTAACTGACAGCTGATGTGCACTTTATACTGCACCGTATAAAGTTGGCTATTTAAAAACACAAAGAAATTTACTGTAATCTTTGAAACAAATAACTAATTTATTGTTATGGCTCAGAAATATGCTGCATCTTTTTCGTTTTTGGGGTGGGGGTGGAGAATGAAACACCTGTCATTGTATTTACAGTTTATTTTTTTCCATGAAAGAAAACTGTTGCCAGTTTAAAACGTTTGGTTGCTAGATGCAGCAACACTTAATCATTTGTTTCCTGACTTAATTTGAAGAAGTTAAAACATTGCTAAATTGTTCAATTGCTTAATATAACTTTCTGTATAGCTGACAGGATGGTGGAGGATGGGGAGAAGAGAAGAAACATTAAGTATAAAGGTCAACTTAATATTAGTTTTTTAACCAGTGAAACCTTTAAGAATCTCTTTTCTAAACAAGTCTCGAACCCTGACTTAGTGTATGATTAGTAAAGCTCTCAAAGGAAACCTGCACATGTACAAGGCGGTCATTCAGCTTCTTCACAAAAGGGCAGCAGTGCTGTGCACTGAAACGACAGTCCCTGGTGTCTTTTTAGAAAAACTATCAGCTGTCAGAACTGTGTCATTCAGAAATAAGAAGGAAACACTTTTTAAAAAGAATATTTACCACATGACAGTAATGAAGTGAGAATTAATGTGTAGCATGATGCGCAGTCAGCCAAGAAAGTAATAACTGGGCTTTTATATCATGGAATTTGTTGGGTGAGTTGCCCCCTTTTGCACGAATGTGACATGGTTGTAATGTCTCATGAAAAATTGGAATTATAGCTTAGATGAAATGAGATATTCGACAAAAAATTGAGAAAATCTCTGAGAACTTTTATTCATTTACTATAATTTTGTCAATGACAATATGCTGGCTGACTTTATCTCAAAGAAAAGTGACTAAACAAATGCAACAAAAAGCAAGAGTTTCTATGTCCGAAAAGCAAAAACTGCTGTTTAGACATAGACATTATTTTAGACAGCTTAAGTATTACTAGACAGCAGTTCAATGAAAATGTTGAAAATGTTTTTGTCTAAGTTTCATCCTAAATTCAGATCCTTACAAAAAAAAATCTTAAAAGATAATGTTTTCCATTCCATCTCCCACATATGTGACTCACCCAGTATAAGAAGCTTCCATCTGCACGTCATGGTGAAGAAGCAAAAAGAGTCCTTACCCGTTTCAAGAAAGTTTAACCAACCCAGACAAAAACTGCAGAATTATCTACTTTTAGGTTGTCCCAACCTTTTCTCTTCTTCTCAACTCTTTCAAAGGTTCTTTAACTTGTTTCTGTAATTTAAAAAACTGAAAAATAATAAATATTAATCCACCAGTCAAATGAACTGATATAGAAAAAGTAGCTAATGTTTATGCTGACAGCAGCAAACCAATAACTCAGCGACTGAAGCACTCCCCAACAACACACATCCCTTCACAGACTGAACTATCCCCTTTCTCTTTCTGCCTGTCTGACTACTGGGGTGACATAGTGTGGTGACTGTGAATTTTAGTTGGGAGGAGTTTCTCTCTCTCTCTCTCTCTCTCTCTCTCTCTCTCTCTCTCTCTCTCTCTCTCTCGCTCACTCTAACACACACAGTAATAAGATCAGTCCTCTGACGCAGAAGTTTTTATGGGAGTACAACCAGAAGTTTCTTTTTAGGAACTAACTTTTTGAGGGGTGCGGTGTGGTGACAGATGAAATCCAGTATTTCTGACGACTGCACAGCTGCAGCAATATGCTACTAGATTATGCAACCCTGATAATTTATGTCTCTTTTTGCCATAGCTCACTTGTCACTTGAACTTTCTCCTCTTTTAGACGTAGTGTGGGAACAGACAGAGGGTTAAAAGTTTAGATTGTGAGGCTAGTCATTGTTTTACAGTGTCCTGCCAGCTGATATACCCTCCCATAGGCACACAGTCTGCTGATTATGATGATGATGACATATTCATGGTTTTAGCCTCTGGCTGCTTATGTTTTTTAGACAATGTAACAATGGTAACAGCATTGAGCTGTATTTAGAAAGAATTAAACAAAGAAGGCTTCTACTATTTTGTTTCCTCTACATAGTATATAGTCTGTATGTAATTCCCCAGAGCGGAGGCCTAGTGCACTTTGATTCAATAAAAGGACAGATTAAGCACTACAGTACTGGAAAAAATACACCACATGCGTCTACAAACCAAAAACTTTACATCTTTTAAAGGTTTCCTGTTGCACGGTGTAACAGGAAACAGTCTTTTGAAACTATACTATGACGTGCTTGGCTACACACACACTCATACATTTATGACCTATCAAGATCTGTGAGGGTTGATTTTTGCTCTGAAAATATGAAGGAATGGAAACATGTTGCAAGAGCAGTGTCATAAAATAAAACAGACTGCTAATTTTTTCAGTGACTTGTTTTGTTTCCAGTTGACATTCATGGTGTAATTTTCAGGCCTGTGCAGGCTGCAGTCTTAATTTCATATCATGATTATTGTAGACAAAGATTCAGTGCCTAAAATATAAAGTGTAAGAGCAACATTTTGTCATGTTTACATGAGAAACAGATATAGATATCAATGCTGGTATTGTTATCAGATCAGACCAGTGATACTACTTGTATCACTGGTATCGATCTATATGCAAAGTCACAGACAAATACAGAAAAATGCTTTTTTCTTACTCTTTTTTTTTGCTTTACATTATTGGAAGTTTTTCAATAACCCAACTCACAAATAACAAGTATGTTCAGATCTCTAAATTACAGAGCCCTGGACACAAATGTTTGGCTTTTTTTGTTGGTCATTATATGTAGCCTACAGTGATGTGTTCATAGGTGTATATGAAATAGTTCTAAAGTGGTAGCACTGTTTTTGCCTGATAAATATAAAATAAAATCTATGAATAAAAGCTATCACAATGTAACTTCACTAAAAAGTACCTAATATTAAACAGAAAAGCTACATAATGGCACAGTGGTTAGCACTGTTGTCTCACAGCAATAAGATCCTGCCTTCAAATCCACCGGGGCCTTTCTGTTTGGAGTTTGCATGTTTTCCCAGTGTCTGTGTGGGTTCTCTCCTGTTATTCCGGCTTCCTCCCACAGTCCAAAGACATGCATTTAGTGGGGTTAGGTTGTTAATTCTAAATTTCCCATAGGATTCAATGTGAGTGTGAATGGTTGTCTGTCTCTCTCTGTGTTAGCTTTGCAACAAACTGGTGACCTGTCCACGATGTACCCTGCCTCTCTCCCTATATCAGCCAAGACATGCGCCAGCGTCCCCGCTGAACTGGATGGATGGATATTACATAGAAAAGCAAGCATATCAGTGCAACAAGGGAATACATCTGAGTAGCAACATGATGCATCTGGCCAACACATACAATACAGATAATGGTTAGTGTCAGGCTTTGTGGGTGAGGATGTTATGCATACCTCAGTCAAAGCTGTGCCTAGCATGATAAATCAGTGTGTGAGTCCAGAGCTCAGGCACTCCTTTGCACATAGTCTGTATTCAAATGATACATGTGTTCCGCTTGAGTTGGGTGACTGTCTTCCTACTGTTTCATTTTGACTTCTTTTTCACAGAGTGACTTTTACCAATAATGATCATGGCAAGCGTCCAAGGCTTATCCTGTTATATTTCAAACTTCTTCCTGCCTATAACAAGATAGTGTACTTTCAGAGTTTTGTGTATTTTGTGTCAGTTGTGTTTGGTTTTTCTTGTTTCTTTCTGGATTCCCAAACAATGAGGAGGAACCTGAATGTGACCCAGTTGTCTCAACAACTTCCTGACATACCCTGAACCTAGAGGTCAGAATGGAGTCTGAATGTTTTGGTTTGTGTCTGTGTCTTACACTGACGACTGTAAGTCCAAAATATGTTCGTGTCATAGAAATCTGTGGTACAGCAGTGAATATTGAAGTTAGCCAAACTGTGTGTTTTAACTGATACTGCTGGTATGGTACGGCTCTTAAAGCAGTTTTCACTGAGCCAGTGTGAAGTTCTAGCTTGGACACTCTTGCTTTTTGCTACTTACTGTCTGAAACTGTTAACATGAAAAAAACACAAAAAAATAGTGGTACTGCTAAATTCCCACTTCTCCTTTTCTCTTCTGCTTTCCATCTTTTACAAGAAAATTCTGTTTAAGCAACATGACTACATGTATTACCTATTAGAGAAGAGAGACAAAACTGGGACATTTTGTTAAATAACCCGTGTTAGTGTCTCAAAAAATACGCTCCTGTTTGATTCTCAGAAATCTAAATTGTCATCAGTCCTTTGCAATGTTTTTTTCTTTTTGGTTTTATGGTTTTTCTTTAAATTCTTGGCATTTAGGAATTTAAAAACAAAAACAAAACTCATTTTAACTGAAAAACATCAAAAACTATTCACACCTCCCCCCAAAAGCAATACTAAAATTAATGTGTTGATACTGTTTTTTTCAGTTACTTTTGACCTAGCAGTGTGACATACAGGATATGGTTGAGGTTAGCAACTAAATACATCCCACAACTGAGGAACGGATGAGAATGTAGACCTCTTGCTAACCAGTGAAACACCAAAAGACTCTCCCCTTTCATCTCACATGTTATAGCAAAAAATGTTGTCAAAGTTTACATTAAGATCTTTCCTTGCTTTTTCATTTAATTTCTTAAGCTACTAGTTTGAAAGTTCTGTAGAAGTAATTAGAAGTGCTAACTGACAAGTTTAATCCTGCTTTCTTTCAGCTTTTATCTCACATTACTCTGTATCAGCAGTGATTACAAATATGCAGTTGACTTAGAACACGTGGATGAATTTGAAATGAATAGATGTTGACTGCTATTCATAAAGACTCAAAAATTCCCGCATTGTTGAATGTAGTGTTCAACACTCTGTACTGATCGTTGTGACAATATGTGCGAAGAGACATTTCCCTTTTATAGCTGTGAAAAAATAGCTCCCCTGCATGTAGAGGAAGTGTGTTCATGCTGTCACCAGCTTTTCACACCTCTGAGCTAAGCTTTTACAAAGTGCTGAGATCCTTTTTTATTTTTGTTGCTGCTCGTGTTCCGCTTTGTTGCATATTCTCTTTTTGTGCTCGTTGACCTTTTGGTAAAACTAATAAAAAAAAGATTAAAATGAAAAAAAGAGATGAAAGAGGGAATAACACCAAAGAGGAACAAAATAGTTTCGAACGGCATGGTAGTTGTGTAAGCAACTAAACAAGTAAAATGATTTACCTAGTTCTCCTAGTCATTTGAACTCTGCCGTGTAATTACTCATTTAATAAAGCACACTTATCCAAATGCTCACTGTTTGGCAGTGAATTAGGAGCTACATCTAAAACTTTAACTTGTAGAACAAATCAAAGTAAATTTTCTCTTGACTTTACAGGCAGAAAATGACTTTATTATTCAAACATGTTTCAAATCCACTATGTGAATATTTTCTTAGTGCCAAATCAAAATGGCGTACTCGGTGTGAATATTTTGTCATGGTGATGTTGCATAATCTAGTGGAGAAATATAGGTACTACACTTTTACTCTCGTATCCCCCCCTCCCACACTAGATTCACTAGGCTGGCAAATTAACTTGCCAACGTTGGAGACATGTGGCATGCATCATTTCAGCTGTTGTATTTAAATATTTGGTGCAAATCTGACTTCTGTGCCACCTTGCATTTTTATTCTCACAATATATGGATGCAGCGTTATGCAATAATGCATCTATTATGCCTGGGGAAATTTAGATGTTTGATTGCTTTAAAAAACTCTTCTTGGTGCTGCAGATTAGGCCAGTCAATTTCTCAGTAGAGACCGTATTAGACGAAAGATAATTTTCAGTGTTGAGAATTAGTCTTATCAAGTGCAATGTGGAAAATAACAATTTAACTAGTGCTACTGGGTTGAAAATTAAGGTGGATCCACTAACTCAGCATATTCAGCAAGTTTAAGGAAAACTCCTAAATATGCTGACTTAAGTGTTTTAAAAACAGTGCTCGTTTACGTGTGCAGCTGTAAAGCCAGAGGGCTGCTTTCGGGCAAATGATAAAACCATGTTTTATGTTAACACCCCCCTCAACAGACTCTCTAACCACCAGGTCCGAAGGGGAATCTTTCAGACAGTTGTTTGGATATTGCACTGAATTTTTAGATAGTGTGCACTGAAATTCTCCCCCTGCATGTCATTGTGTAGTACCATTTCCCAAGCTGGTTGCTATTCAAGAACTCTAACCTTACAGCCTCCTTTACAATCTTGCATCAAAACATTTATCTAATCATGCACCAGACAGGGTGAAGTCTACATTTTAAGCATGTTTCTTTTTTCAGATATGACATTATCTATCACACAGCAGTAATATTAGCACATGGCTGGGGCCCTGATCACTGATAAGCATATTAATAATATTCAGATATTTACAGCGCTTAATTTTGCACAGGGTGTAGCACTCTTTGAGTGTTAAATTCAGGAAATGATTCATCTAACAAAC